CTTAGTGGAACAGATATGTATATAAGTGAGTGCTGCAATCTAAGTACTTCCTATATATAGGGTTACAACTTCTTTATTTTTTGAGCAACAGTTTTAACAACTGCTGATTTCACAATCAAAATTAATAGCCTGTTTCATAGCCAGGCCATCAAGTGACGAGATTCCGTATGCGTACATACTTACACTCGACATGTCAATTGCGTTCCTCCAGATAATAATAAATTTGTACTCAAATTCGGCATTCTCCCAATTGTTTACAAGTTCTTCAGAAGAGTTACTTACTTACTTAAAAATTAGATGGCCTGTCTTCCGTTACCACCTGAAAATTCAGCTGGTCTATCCGTGCAATAAACACGCAGCCCATCTGGTCGGTAGCCTCCTTCAAGGATATTTTGCTTCGCAAGGGATCCATTCCAGAGTTTTTAGTGTCCATCTGTCTTCTATTCTTCTCATTATATGACCAACCCATCAATGTTTTGTCTTAAAGACGTATTTCGCTGAATCGCGAAGACTAGACATTGATCTCACATCTGAACTGCAAAGTCGAGATGTTGAGTGCTCGATTGTATTTCAGGAGACGTCGTTCCAGCGCTCTGTGGGTTGTTCGGAATGCGTCCGACGTAGCGAAAGTATCGGGCCACGTCTCTGCTTCGTAACAGAGCGCAGGGAGAACGCTAGAATCGAACAGGTTGGCTCGGAGCTCTGGGTGCGTCAGTTGGTCTTTGGCTTCCTTTAGGAGCCCGAAGGCAACCCAAGCTGCTCTTTGTTTCCTGTTAGTTTTTATTTCAGATCGTTCTCTATGTCCATCGAACGTCTATACGTCAGGACGTCTCCGCAAATGGAAAGCCTTCTAATTCCATTTTCTGATCCTCGCAAGACACTTCTTCATGAACTGAGTCTTTTTCCAGTCAATTGGCAGTCCTATCCGCTTCCCTACTACGCTTGGTTCTTTCAACATTGTCTCCGCTTCAGTGATATTATCGAGAAAAGAACAATGTCGTCCACAAAACGAAGATTCGAAAGGATCCTCTCATCAACTCGTATACCCCTCGTTCCAATCCATTGATTCCATTACCCACTGCAAGGCGGCGGTAAACAACTTCGGCGACACGGTTTTGCCTTGTCGAACCCCCTTCGAAACGGATATGTTAAGGGGACGATGGAAAAGCTGTACCGTTGTAGAGCAAATCTTGTAGCAGTTGGCCAATGCTCTCGAGTAAGATGGGTCCACCGCCTGGTTGACTCTCGACGCTTTCGAACGCTTTCTCATAGTCGTCGAAGGTTAGGACGAGAGGTGGGCGGTATTCTTGGCAATCTTTGATGTGCTCGGAACTGTCTGGATGTGATCCACGCAGCTGAATCCCTGGCGAAATCAACTTTTTCTACAGGTTGGGCTTCATCCAGTGTCCTTGATATGCGAGCGAAAATAATCTTTGTGAAGAGCGTAAAGCACTAGCAAACATATTGGACGGTAGTTCCAAAGGTCCTCTCTATCGCTCTTCTCATAAAAAAAGATTGTTCGGAAGGTTCTCTACTGGTCGGGTATCCTTATCTCTTGAAGGTAAGATGTTAGATGTTCCGCAAGTATCTCGTGAAGGCGATGTTCTCCAGCTCGTAAGAGGTCGGCCGAAACGTGGTCCGGTCCCGTAGTCGTGGCTGCCGTCATGGTGTGGTGTGTCGCGTACTCCAACAGGTAGAATCCAAGGTGTATTTCTCCAGGGAGAATAACGGTATTTGATACTGGTGTTGATGACCGAAAGAGATCTGTGTAAATTTTCTTCGTGATCGATTCCATCTTTTGTCGTAAAGATGTGCGAGTTCCTCTTCGTTTAGTCTGTCAGCGAAACATGGTAGTCGAGGAGGTCGCTGCGGTACTTT